AGCCATGTTGGCTGGGGAATTCTGGGAGTTGGAGTCCACCCACCTGAAAGCTGCCAAGGTTGAGGAACACTGCACTGGGGGTTGCACTGATCTGGGAGTAGCACACTTCTTTCAATCTCTACTGCACTGTCTGGCTGCAAAGCTAGCATTTCTTCTGGAGTGGTGGTTAGACCGTTTCTCATTGGCAGCGGCTGGTTTTTATGATTAGCTCGCTGGAGGAAATGCTAGACAGTTTGTGGAGAGCTCTGAGGAAGAAGCAGCGTGAGACTATTTCAGAGCATTTGGGGGGAAAAGCCAGTGGTTGTGTAGAAGTAGTGCCTTCTTAGGCAAAGACTGGATTGGTGTGTTTTGTTTTTTGATGCCTTCAAGTCAGTGTTGACTCCTGGCAACTGCCTGTAGTTTTCTTGGCAAGATTTTGGAAGTGGCTTGCCATTGCCTCCTTCCTAGGGCTGAAAGAGAGTGACTGGCCCAAGGTCACCCAGCTGAGTTCATGCCTAAGGGGGGACTAGAACTCACGGTCCACTATGCCTCATAAATTATAGTTTACCATTATATATGAGTCACAGTTCCTTGTCTTATTAAAAAAAAAATGGTTAAAATGTCATGGCACCATATTATCACGAAGCTCACAAAATAATGAGACAGGATCTATGTGTGCAGACGCAACACTGATTCAGAATAATCTTCTATCCATTTTTGAAATGAGTATCTATTTCATATCTTTCAAACTAAAGATTAAGCCAAAGAATTCATTCATTTTCTTTGTAATCTCATCTTCCTTTAGTATATCTTTAACTTCCTCATCATCCAATAGTCTGTCTGCCTCCTTTGGTGGTTTCCTGTTCATAATATTTTGAAAGAATAGATTTCTTCATCCTAATTATTGTGGTACTGTAATGTTTCTCAAATGTTAGTACCATTTTGCCTCTTCTATTTTGCCTCTTTTATTTTGCCAAGTTCATGTTTTTTTTTAATCTTTTCATTTGAGCAAACAATCATCCATTATGTCAGGATTATGTCTCAAGCAGATACTAAGTCTATATTGAAGATTTATCCCTCTTGCATGCCTTAAGAGGTGCGACCGAAATGTTTCTGAGATCTTGCTAAAAATTTTGTTGTGACATATCTTACTGCCAGAGATAAAAGCTTCATTATTAACTACTAAAAGCTACTATGTTTGCTAAGATTATGTCTCTCAATCCAGTACACACAGCAGTCCAAAGAGTATTTCCAAAGTTAGCAGGTAATATCAATAAAACCATTAATTGTGGATGCAGGAGAAGTGTTTTTAAAGGAGAAAAACATGCTGTTGCTTCCCAAATAAATAGGTATGACTGTATAGAATTGGTTTCTGTGGGTTGTACAATGTAATCCTCTGAATGTTTATTTGGAACTAAATCCTACTGTGTTCAACAGTTCTTAGCCAACTATTAAGTACACGTAGGATTAAGCCTATTAATATCATATTAAGCCTATTAATATCATACAGCTTCAGATGTCCCCTACGTCACTTTTGTCTCCGCTTTTTTTTCATGGACTGTTCCTACAACCCATTTATCACTCTGCAGTCCCAGAAGAAGGCAATGGCAACACTTCTGTGTTACTTCCAAGAAAACTACATGGATCTGCCCGTGTAATCATCAGGAGCTAAGCTTGTCTTGTCTTGTCTTGACCTTTTGAAAAAAATCCTATTAAAATTGTGTCTTTTCTTGAAAGGGACACGCTTGCATTCTTTAGCCTCCAACTTGGGTTCTTTCGCCCAAGACGTAATGCCTGAATACTAGGCACATGCCTCACCCCTCCCTCCTCTTGCTGCTAAGAGATGTTGGTGCTAGGCCAATGAGGATTATTGTGAATCTATGAGGCCCAATTTCTCTCCAGATCTACAGGATACTGGCACAAAACTGTTCAAATCTGCCTAAAGGTCCATAAATATACCCTCATGTGGAACGTGGCTCCTGTTAAGTGCATCCATGTAGCTTTCTTGGCAATGCTATGGAAGTGATTTGCCATTAATCACTTCTGGGATATTTTTTTTCCAACTTCCTAGTCTAGCCAACAGTTCTAGAAGCCTCTGTTGATGCCCCATCCAAGTATGAACCGGGGCTGATCTGACTTAGGTTTCAAGATCGATAGGTGCTGCTATCTGCTGAGGCTAAATTGGTCCAGAAAATTCATACATTTGCTCTGCCAAGAGCAACACTTTGGATTTATTCAGAAGAGGTACTTCAGGATACTCAGGACCATTTATCTGCAACTTGTGAAAGTAGCTTCTTCATCCTACCTGAACGTTCTTATTGTTAAGGTTATAACAAGTTATAGCAGATTACAGAAAAGGTGTGCTTTAAAGCTGGGGTCTCATAACTACATATAATTCCACCAAAACTAATGGGAGCTCTGTTAGAAGTTGCTTAATCAGTGGTCTTTGCAGGATCTTGCTGCTTTCATTAGAATGATAAAAGCAGCATTGTAGCATCAGGCTGCAAGCTCCGTCCCTTTTGGCTTGCATGCCCAATGTCACAGCACAGGCAGGAAAAGGGCTGAGCTTGTATCACAACTTCACAATGATGCTTTTGTCAGTCTGACCCACTTGGACCCCATGGACAATGTTGTTCCCATTCACACTCAAAGATATACATGTAAACTAATGAAATATTTGAGAGACAACGCTGTGACAATGATCATGAAGTTACAAAAGTTTTCAGAACAAGAGTTAGTGTTCCTATAAAGAAGATTTGACCAAAATGGATGTTTGGCAACAATGAAATAATGTTTTTAGCCTAAGTTGCTGAAAGGATTCAACTCCAGTGATAATCTCCAGCTAACAAAGAACAGTGTCATCAGATTGTAAAAATAAACCCAGAGCCAATCAATGAAATGTGCCAGATCATACAATTATGCTCTTTCCTCCCTGCTTCCAGGATGACACTAGCTTCCTGTTTGTTTGTTTTAAGTATAAAATGGGTGCATTAAGTTGGAGGCACCTATTTTACTAATTCTCCCCACAACATAAAAGGAGGTTTGAAAAGGGCTGAATGCTGTGCTCCTTCCAGGGGAATCACTGTTACACCCCCTGCCATCCTTGGAAGCTGAACAAGTTTTTTTTTGTCTTTAAAGTCCCTGGCTGCAAAAATCAACTTCTTCAAACCTGCCATCCTCTAAATCAGTGTTTTTCAAACTTGGCAAGTTTAAATGTGTAGACTTCAACTCCCAGAATTCCCCAGCCAGCATGCTGGCTGGGGAATTCTGGGAG